CGACTGACTATCATGTGTGTTTTTGTCATATACAGTTTATGGTTTTAGCAAAGCTGCAGTCTCTATTCATTTAACTTACACAGTAAATTTCCAGTTAAACTGAGGCTTATTGAAGACCTCTCTCTCTCTCTCTCTCTCTCTCTCTCTCTCTCTCTCTCTCTCTCTCTCTCTCTCTCTCTCTTGCCAGCCATTCACTGGTCTTGCAGATTTTAGCGTCCATGCCGTGCCGCCGACAACTGCACACACGTTGCAGGTCTATTTCAAGTAGCCTGCTATTTCAAAACAATATAATATTCTTTGTGTGGTTCATCAACGGTGATAAATTATCAGAAAGTCCCGCGAAGTGTGGACAACTCGGCACAACACCAGTGAAGCTGGGGCTCGGTCTCTTCAGCAACTGTTCCTTTGCTGCCACCTCACACACACACACACACACACACACACACACACACACACACACACGCTACGCCTACACATGCGCACTGACGACCCAGGGCTAGGGTTACAATTTTGGATTTATTTACTCACTTTAAAAAGGTAAGTTTTATTCTTTTTACATGTTTATTTACAGCAATAAACATTGAAATGTGTATTGTAATAGGCTGTATATTAACTTACTGGGAGAAAACTGGTAGTTCTATGTAAACGTTGAGCACCCCCATATAGCCAAAATGGCACGATTCTCGTTTTGCTGCGAAGCTTCGACTGCGAGATTGACAGTCGAATCAGGCTCCGCCCTTCGAAGCATTGAATCTTCGACTATTCAGAGTCAGCCCTACTCTTCTGAAAGAGCCGCTGTCACAGGCTTGTTCTCGCTGCATCTCACTTCAGTGTTATACTGTATAATAATATAGTGTAACTCTTTTGCATGTCACTGTAGCCTTGACGAGATGAATTGCACAAAGGCATTCATGGTGTAGCACTCAGTTGTGACATACAGTTTAACATTTTCTTTGAAAAGAGAGCTTGTAATAGAAGTTTAAACTCTGCCTTACTTTTACACCTCCGCACACTTGGCCTATAGCTGGGTAAAGACAGACACAGCAATCCAGTAGAGTTGCAAAATGGGAGAAGCAAGTGGTGTCAGAAGTAGTTTTCCCAGTTCACAATTCCCATTTCAAATATTCATTTTACTGATATCCTCTATGTTTCTCAACATGTTGATAATGTGACAGTCCTATATGTGAGTCTCTCACTGTGGTACAAGGCTGACCTCTTTCAAAACATGTACTGATCATGTCACGTGGAACCACCAGACCTGCTGCAGATCCATGACCCATTTTGGCTTTTGACATCTTTTTTTTCCCAATGAAAAACATCTTTATTGTTTCCTGCTTCTCCTCCAAAACAGGCAGTCTGCTGTATCAGGCCAAGGTGTCAGTCTCTTGCAGGTACTATGTTAACCTGCTAGGTGGCCCTGTGGCAAAAGTGAACTGTTGGCCTTCTATTAAACCCCCATTCCTCCCATTCTCTGTTCAATATGGATGGACCAACGAGTCAAAGCTGGAGTTACAGGCCTGCTTTGACTGCACTGACTGGAGTGTTTTTGAGGCTGCTGCCACTGACCTGGATGAACTAACTGGCACTGTGACATCTTACATTAGTTTTTGTGAGGACGTGTGTGCCGACTAAAACCTTCCGCACATACAACAACCAAAAAACCTGGTTCACAGCGAAACTCAGGCAGCTTCGTCAGACCAAGGAGGAGGCCTTCAGAAGTGGGAACAGAGTCCTGTACAACCAAGCCAGGAACACACTGACTAAAGAGGTCAAAGCAGCAAAGAGAAGCCACGCTGAAAAGCTAAATAACAGCTTTGCAGCCAACGATCCTGCGTCAGTGTGGAGAGGCCTGCGGACACTCACCAACTACAGGGGACCATCCCCCAACACTGCTGGTACTAAACTACTGGCAGACGAGCTGAATGGCTTTTATTGTAGGTCTGAAAAGCCCACAGTCACACCTCTCCCCCACTCCAACACCATCTTCAAACAGTCTCCTACCCCCTCTGACACACTGCTGGCCCACCTGAAGGACATTACAAGCCCCTTGCTGGACCTCCTGCAGTTTGCCTACAGGCCTAACAGGTCAGTGGACCTCGACTCTCCAGGGACATATGCAAGGATCGTGTTCGTGGACTTCAGCTCGGCGTTCAACACCATCATCCCAGACATCCTCAGCACCAAACTAACCCAGCTCACTGTGCCAGCCTCCAGCTGTCAGTGGATCACAAACTTCCTGGCTGACAGGAGTCAGCAGGTGAGACTGGGGAACATCACATCCAGCACTCGGACTATTAGCACTGGTGCCCCCAGGGGTGTGTGCTCTCCCCACTGCTCTTCTCCCTCTACACCAACGACTGCACCTCAAGAGACCCATCTGTCAAACTCCTGAAGTTTGCTGACGCCACAAGGGTCATCGGCCTCATCCGGGACGGTGATGAGTCGGCCTACAGACGGGAGGTTGATCAGCTGGCTCTCTGGTGCGGTCAGAACAACCTAGAGCTTAACACGCTGTGGAGATGATCGTGGACTTCAGGAGGAGCCCCCCCACTCTGCCCCCCATCACCATACTCAACAGCCCTGTGTGTGCTGTGGAATCCTTCAGGTTTCTGGGATCCACTATTTCCCAGGACCTGAAGTGGGAGCCCAACACTGACACCATCATCAATAAGGCCCAGCAGAGGATGTACTTCCTGCGCCAGCTCAGGAAGCTCAACCTGCCTAAGGACCTGCTGATCCACTTTTACACAGCCATCATCCAGTCTGTCCTCTGCACGTCCATCACTGTCTGGTTTGGATCTGCCACCAAAAAGGACAGACTACAACCGACAGTCAGGACTGCAGAAAAAATCATCGGTGCCAACCTGCCCTCCATTCAGGACTTATACATTGCCAGAGTCATGAAACTGGCAGGAAACATCACTGCAGATCCATCTCAACCTGGACACAATCTGTTCCAGCTTCTCCCCTCTGGTAGGCGCTACAGAGCACTATATGCCAAAACCAACAGACTTAGGAACAGTTTCTTCCCACAAGCCATCACTCTGGTGAACAGCTGATTTCTGACTCAGGTGTCAGGAACAATTCTTGTGCAATAACCCAGTAACTCTGGCTCTAATCAGCCACCTGTTTACTGGTTACCACTTAATATTTATTCACCACTCTCTATTTCAGTGCTGTTCATACTGTTATATTGTCATATTGTAGATACTGTATGCACTATACTTAATTGCACTGTGTACATGTATGCATGTATATGTACTTGTGTATCACATCCACCTCCGACATGTACATACTCCTGCATCCTTTGCACTCTGCTCACTCATCTGTCAAAGTGTCTATATTGCTTTTGTTCATAGTGTGTATATTTGCATTATCTACACTGAAGTCTGTGTCTGATTTTATTTTATTTTTATTGTTGTAATTTTGTATTTTTGTATGAGTAAGCTCATCGTGAGTAATGTATAATCCAGAGTCAAATTCCTCGTATATGTACACATACCTGGCAATAAAGCTGATTCTCATTCTGAATATGTACAGTTTTCTAAGCTGGAATAAAACCTGTTGATATTTCCGTGGCCCAGACGGAAGTTCCTCGTAGTGCTCATACGTAACCCAGCCCTGGGTACAGTGTCAGTTTGTTGTTGCAGATGTGTGTTGTGGCTCATTTGAGTGCCTCCTTCCTCTATTGGCTTTCCACCGTTACCACCTAACTAGACTCTGTGTTGTACTCTGAAATTGGAGTTCCTCTTTAAAAAACATCCAACAGAGTGGTAGAGTGCTTCATGTCTGAATCCCCCAGTGGTTGTAATATAAGAGTGTGGGAGTATTAATTACTATCCCCTATGAAATCCAGATCAATGGAGAGATAACTGTGTACTTTCTTTTGATGTCTGCAGAAAATGATCATGCCGCACAGTAATACAATGGTCAATGTTCAAACATCGCAGTTTGTCCCAGACAAGGTGAACTGCATGATGAAAACCAGATAAGGAGTGAACACAATAAAGAAGACATTTTTGTACAGTATAATCAAGACTACATGTGAGAACAGCATGTGATCTTGGCTATGACTGTCTTAAGTCCTTCACCCAGAGAGCAAGGCGCAAGAGGGTCAAAACTACTGGCCTTGCATTGTTCAGTTTTAAAAGACACACATTTTGGAACAGGTGTTATCTCCTTAAATTAAGACATATAAAGTTTTGACTCATTATAAACACATAGTGTCATGAATTAAACAATCAGTCACATATATGCCCACAGAAGGAGCTGCTTCACCTAAACAAGGTGGCAATAATCACCTAACATGAGACTAAGTCTCTTGAGAAACGATCCCTGGATGTGGTTACATTTAGATAATTGATGACCATGTGTTGGGCTTGGACAGTTAAATCGATCCTTCGGTGTCTTGTCATCCTTGTCATCCTTGTCATCAAAGTTTCTTGCCCTAAGACTAGATTTTTGTCATGCTTGGTTTAGTTTTTAAATGTGCATCGGAATGAGTGAAACCTAATACATATGTGTAAATTCTTCAAATAGCCTAATTTCCAGTTAATAATAGTAGAATGGATAATTTCTTCCATTTGTTGAAGTATCCCACTGGAACCCCTAGGTTGCGCTTGTTATTTACACCGGGGCACCAGTGCTTGTTTGTGCGGTTATTTCCAAACATAAGAAGAGGATGAAATAATTTTTAAATCTCAACGGTGCTACCTTTAATTATACTTAATTGTTCTAGTCATAGCCGCCAGATTGCTGTCCATCGACCCGGTGTGTTGTACATTGACTCCGCTTACCCAGACTAGCTTCGGTGTACGCCAATGTTGGTTCTCAGCAATCATGTTTTTGTATTCTACAGAACTAGCGCGTCACAGAACTCCGGTTATAGACCAATGAAAATGTAGTTTTGGACAGGGGCAGAGCTAATTGACAGAAGAAGCAGCCAATTAATTGATGTTTCGCCCAGACGTTGTAACCAATCATCGTGCACATGCCAAAAATAACACCTCCTCTTGTTCAGCACCCAAAGTCGAAGGATAGCTCTGGCCTTTCAATTGAAGAAAGTGCTAGATTTGTCGGTGTTGTATAATATAACCAATTCTCAGTGTCCATATTTGTTTTTGGAAGGATCGAAATTGTCTTCATTTAATGTGAGAGACAGAACTGGCGTCAAACATGCGTAAAAATCAACGCTGTCCAAGCAGGGAACCACCGAGAAAGGAATTATCGCCGCTCATCTGAGGCCAATCTCGATCATTTTTTGTCAAATAAGGAAACATAACATAGCTAGCTAGCTAAATTGAGCTCCGTAGATAGCTAGGTTACCGACATATCTTCACACAAAAGCAGAATTCAGCAGACATTCAAGAGTGGATCTACCTTCGCAGCAGCAGGAAAACGTAAGTAGCATGCTAACGTCATTAGCTTGAGTTTGACAAGCTGGGGAACTGCGTTGGCTCCAACCGTTTAGTTAACATTAGCAAGTCGGCTAACGTTAGCTCATATCAACACACTAGCAAACTAGGCCTTTCCGTAGAGGGACCAGTGTTAGGAGGAATGGAGTTAAGCATGTGGTCAGTGGATTGGTATTTAACACACAAACGTATTTCCCAAAACAATACCTCGGTTCATGAAACATAAATTGTATTCTGCAATAACATTAATCGTCAGCGTACAAACAGACCATTTACCAAAATAAAACCTAACCCATCATCTTAAGTTTCAAAGTAACTTTGTTACCGCCGGCGTTAGCAAGCCAATTCTGAATGAGGCATATTTTAAAGCAATACTAATTATTAACAGTCTAACGACACGTTGGCCTCCAGTTCTTAGTCTGGTCCCAAGTGAGCTAATCTAGCACGGTATAGGCTAACGTTACACTAGCTATAACTAGCTAATGACAGCTTAGCGGACTTTGTCATAAGGGTGTCAGTAGTTAGCTATGTGATATTAGCTTGGCACTGTAATGGTATTTCTAACATATTTAAGCAAACACACAGCCGCAAACTGCCACAGGCCCTGTTATTTTCAATCAGTAACGGTGACGTTAGCTATACAGCGATATTAATGTCCTGGGTTTAACCGTCTATATGTGTAAAACAAAAATGCATGCAGTGCCAGCTGGATAGCTACTGTATGTTCTGTTGTGAATGCAGTGACCTTAGAGCGTAATTATAACCGCAAGCCCCCACGTTTTTACGTCTTGAATCTTTGTTGAAGCTCGTGAAATCAGTCAGTACACATGAAATGTAATCTAGGCAGATAACACTTAATGTTAGTCACAAGTTGGGAAGGTGTTTATAACCAGTCATATTTCACTGCGGCAACAGCACTGCTCCTCCCAACACACTACCGGTTCTCTACTGCTCATTATTTACATAAAATATGTAATATGTACTGATATACTTAATAATATATAGCGTGACTTTATTTTTTATAACGCTCAGTAGGTGTTCTGGAACTGAGAAACTGTCAAAATAACCGTGAAATGAACTCATGACAAACCAAAATATTGACCAAATAATTACCTGCACTTGTTTCAGTTTAAAATGTATTAATTGTTTTGTGGCAGTTCAGGCAGTGCAGTTTGCGCTTCATGCCTCAGTTGATTGATGGTACAACAAAATCAGCTGCTATGTTTATTTCTTGGCAATATTTTCTATATATTGCAATTATTTCAGGCTTTATTAGGGAGGGGCAGGTTCATAGGTAAAGGGCGGGTGTTTAAAATGTACGTGGTTTACCCTGACCATAAACATGGGCTTGGTTGGTAACTCCTAACATTGCTATAGATATTCTGCAGGACAGGCCTACATGAGCACGTGATTGACCACAACTCAAAGACTGTTTCTAAAAAATGTGATAAATAATAATGATATTAAAATTATAAAAGTATTATTTGAATTTGGGATCATATGAGCTATTGTTGTTTGTTTTTCCCCCTCTTGTTTTGAGAGGAACACTGTTCTCGTCAGATATTTTAGAAAATTGTTTTTGATGTGTCTGATCAGTTAAGTACTTCTTTGCAGCAGCTCAGATCATTAATTAAACCTATCAATCATCTCTAGTCTCCCTTAGGCTGTCAAAAAAATCTACTCTCCCTGCCAGGAATGCAAAGAGTACTCCTTCAACTTCTGATGTGCGTTTCTGGATTCCAGATGTTTGCTAAGATTTTATGTTGAAAGTGAAGCTCTTGACTTCCCATGTGAAGAGAGACAAGTGCGTTAGCAGACCTGCTTTTATATCTCTTTTTTTTATTACTATAATAAGACAGTTTTGGTTTAATGACAGTTTTATTTAATACAGATTTCCATAACATTACTCTTGCAATTTGCGAGTTCTGTATGATCTTAGATGATTACGCCATTCTGAATTGCTCTACAATATTACAGAGATTCGTCATCCAAGCTAAAGCCTGATTTATACTTCTGTGTCCTGTAACCCTAGGCTGTAGCCTATGCCATAGCTTGACATGCACCTCCCCAAAAATGTAACTGTTATTGGTTGGCTTGGTAGCATTGCATTTCCTCCAAGTCCACAGGAAGTGCTCCGTGCTCTGAAGTCAATTTTACTAGGGGCCAATCCAGTGGCTGTGACACAGTGGGTACATTTTTTGGGGCGTCACAACCCCCTGCGAAATGACTCGTTTCACTATTAGAATGTGATTCATTCGGTTGATAACATTAACATCAAGTCTAGAAGAGTCTGTTCTTATTATTTATTTGAATGTATTCAACGTAGTGTTGAAATCCGCTCTGTAGAGCAGTGTCCATTTGGGCTACTGTAGAAACATGGCGGCGCAACATAACAACGTCCATGTAAGAGGACCCACTGTGTATGTACTGTAGATACAAATAACTCATTCTAAGGTAATAAAAACATAACTGTTCATTATTGTACACCACTGAAAACATAGTTATGTAGATTATATTTTATCTGTCAATAGATCCTCCTAAATATTACACACTGAACCTTTTAAGGCTTATGGTAAATTCACATTTCATCCACCAATGTTGTATAGAGTTAAAATTTAGCCTGGCAGCCACCCTGCTCATCTTCTCCAGTATAACAGATAGCGAAAAGGTGTACAGGTGACCAGTATATGACATTACTAGGTGTTGGGCTTATGCCCTGCCAGCTACATACGGGAGGAGTTCAATGGCTGATAATCTTGTCTGAGTCAGCAGTCATTGTGTAAAGACTGAGGAGCAGATGAAACACAGTGTCAGCAGGAGACTAAGACACTCAACAAGCGTATTTTAGATATCTTACAGGCTATGGCTGTGCTCTGATGGAGCCGTAGATATGTTGTTGTTTTTTTGTGCTGATTTAAAGAGCTGGTATTATGCTCATTTTCATGTTCAAAATCTTTAATTAGGTGTTGTACCAGAACAGGTTTACATGGTTTAATTTTCAAAAAACACCATATTTTTCTCATACTGCACATTGCTGCAGCTCCTCTTTTCACCCTATGTGTTGTACGCTCTGCTCTTGAGCTACAGAGTGATGCATCTTACTTGTACAAAATCTTTGTTGGGAGTTGCCCATGCGCAGTTCCCAGGTAAGGACTACTAACCAATCAGAAGCAGAGAAGGGCGGGTCATAAGAAACAAGGTAGTGTGATCCAAATCAAAGCTGCTTCAGACTGCGACCGTAATCTAGCAGATGGTTTAAGTTACTCACAAGTCCACAACATTATTGTTCCACATCTTACCATCAGGACTAAACATTGAACTGTTGCCGGTGTTCTGACGATCTTGCCGAAAAATGCTACCAAATCGATAGACTCTACTCTACTCTGCCCTGCTCCGTTTTCCATTGCAGATAGTACCCAGAGATAGTACGTAGCTTGTCGTCATAGCGACGCCACACACAATTGCCGCAATGTAATGTTCAATGCGACACACACCAGGTCTTAAAATATATCTACGGTTAAAGCGTTTCAACATTACTCAGAATGTAAAGACAGATAAGCGGTATGAAAACCTTCCAGCTGTGTTTTCCTCTGCCGTTGTTGCTGCAGCGGTCTGTGTGACGGTGGGGGCAGAGGGCTCTGTGAGCGGGCGGCTGGCCGGCCTCACACGCTCCTCCCGCGGGTTGGCACAGGCTTCCCCCGCAGCCACTTGCGGAGCTCCTCAACTCCGAAAATATTCAAGCATTTTTGTTCCGCCATCACTTCTCGTAAAACTGTCAATATTCGAAATCTATACAGCAGATTTCTCAAAACTTCTCAGAAGTGGATTTAGTGATGAAATTCCATACGAAAACTGTAAAACTTTCTGTTGCTGGCCTCTGTCTGGTGCACGCAATGATGATGCAGTGAATATTGTAAATTCTCTCTGACCAATCAGCAGTCTGTCATGTTTTCACGTTACATTTTAGTATCCCTCAGCTCGCTTGGAACCTCGATGGAGGTGAGGTGACATGAAAAAAAGTACCTGGAAGCAGGTACAGGTGCAACATTTCTACAATGGAAACCCAAACAAAGGCGAGTCGAGCCAAAGGGCCTCCGCTCAGACTAGCTTGGTTTGAGGGCGTGCCTGACCCCGCTAGCCGCTTGGCAAACTTTATGACGCATTTTCATTGTGATGTCACAAGTAAAGGAAGTGGACTACAAACGAGCTGTTTTCAAGCAGTTCAGAGCAGAGTTTTTTGTGGGAGATGGGAACTCCCTTTGGGCTGGACTTTGGGCTTTTTCACTGCAAACCTGTTACATGCACAAAAAAAGATATATAACTCAATAAAGGAGAGGGGGAAAGCCAAAAAAGCATAATACCACCTCTTTAATGGATGAAGTATTCTTGGAATATAAGCTGTTACACAAGGGTAACAGGCCTACTTTTGTTGTTAATGTTGGTGCACTAAAATGTAGTAGCATCATACTGGGGTCATGTTATTTCTACACATTTAATATATTTTTGATGAAGATATCAAAATTATAGACACAGTAGATGACACATATAGTAGAGCTGCAACAATTATTGATAGTCGATTGATGGAAAATTAATTGACAACTATTTTAAAGTATTTTTTTAAGCAAAAATTCACAGGTTCTCCTTTTCTTATTCTTCTGTTATGGTCTGAATATCTTTGGAGCGAATGAGACATTTGGAGACATCCCCATGGAGCATGCATTTTTCACAATTTACTGACATTTTATAGACCAAATGATTAATCAAGAAGATAATTGGTAGACCGGTAGATAATGAAACAATTTCTAGTTGCAGACTTAATATATAGCTGTAATAAAAAATAAAAAAACTGTTGTTGATATTGATTGTCAGATCTATTCACAGCATAGCCATCATCAGATTTTTTCGTGGCTCAAAATGACGCGGAAGTCGTATCACCCTGATCACGTGCATGTGTACTGTCCAAGCAAACACTTTTTACAAGCAAC